CTAGGATTTCACTTATTTTTTCAATTAAACTAATATGCTTAATAGTAAATTGATCTTATATGGTTTTATCAATGTTAGCTTTATAATAAACAGTTGTACCAATCTTAAAATCTAAAATGTGTAAATGTGATGCTAAAAACCTAATTATGAATGCATTTTTATTGCAAACAAATCCTTAACTGTTCAATAACTGGTCTGTTCACCCTAATTAACTTTATCAAATTTTAAGAAACCGATAATAGTTTTAAATTTTATTCGGTTTTTAAATAACAGATCAAGAATGGTTAGGTTATGGTTTGGGTTTTGTAAACTGTTTTTAAAGACCTTTGTTTTCAGTTATGATTTTGAATTGGTGTTTAAAGGTTTTTGGTGTCGTTTCTGTTTACATTGTTCAATAATGAAAAAACTGTGATTCTCATCGGATAATCCGATTCAGATTTCACCGGTTTGTCAGATGGTTTCAATCTCTGACTACAATTGTAGTAAAATAAAACTTATCCTCATTTTTATTCACCGGAAATTTAATAAAGTTTGAGTAACATAGCTGTGATCGTAACTTGATTGACTCTCGAAAATTAAATTCATTAACCAATCATTTTTCATAAATATTTCTTCCATTTCAATATTATCTATTATTTCATTGAAACACATTTTACATTCTTTATCATCTTCTGCAGACATTTGTTCCTCTGGTGTCAACTTTTTTATATCACAATTAATTGAAGATATATTATAGTTATAAACCAAGTCATAATAGCTAATATTAAGTATTTAATCTTTTAATCTTTTAATCTTTTTATGGTTGGAAAGAGCAGTTCAATTGTTTCACCTTTTTTTATATTTTTCATCCCCTTCCCCCTTTGATGGTTTCCTCCAAATCTGAGGAAAATCAGTTTTTAAAAAGCTATCTTCATTGTTAACATTATGAATTAAGGCAGAAACATACTTACACTTTTCAGAAGCTCCAGCTGGACAATTACAAAAATATCTCATTATGGTTCTGGTATCATATAACTATATGATTAAACTATATGGTGCATGTGTTAGTATTATTCATTGAAATAGATTGAATTCTGTATAAATGAATAACCTACTTTCTAGTTTAACTTGCCATGAGTGTAATATGTGAATGACGTTTGTCTTATAATACTTGCTGTGATCACAGAAAAATTATTTGGTGGTCTCACTACAGAATATATTAAATTGCATGTATTCTGTGGTATAATTTTCTGAAAAATTCCTAAAACAAATGGAATTAGTAATTACATTATTTATTTTTCAACGAGACAATCAATTATTTTTCAATTTTTTTTTTGCAGAATTTTTCAAAATACTTTAGCACAGCGGTTCTCAAACTGTGGTATGTGAAAGACTCCATGGTAGTACACGGAAGGCCGCATGGTGGTAGGATGGAAAATTAAAAACATGAAAGTTTGAAAATGGAATTTACTAAATCAGAATTGGGTGAGTTTTGGATAAAGATTAAAAACAAATATCCGTTACTGTCTAAAAAAGCATTGTTATTTTTATTAACATTCACAACCACTTTTCTTAGCGAAACTGGATTCTTCTCAATGATCGAAGTAAAAAACAAGTTTCGAAACAAACTGAATCTCGAGCCAAATTTATGCTTAAAATTAAGTAACACTGAACCAGATATTTCATCGCTAATATCAAATCTACAAATCCATGGTTCTCATTGAAAATTTGTTATTTTAAATTTAAATTTAAAATCATCTTAATTTTTATCTAAACTTTACTATGTAAAGTTTGTATTGTTCTATTTTTAATCATCAGTGGTACGCGACTGATCAATAATATACTTAAGGGCACKCAAAAAAACAATTTTGAGAATTGCTGCTCTAGCAGTTAATGATTGTTGCTACCACAACATATTTTCCATTTTTTGGTCAGTTAGAGGATGGCACACACATACAGCCTAACCCAAAACTTTATGTTTAGTACAGCTATTTAAAATAAATGTCTTTACAATTATTAACTTTGTTATAACTGTTATAAGTCATTTGTATAACAATCATCTTATTTTTCTGTAACTGTGGCAACTGGCAACACGTTAATATTGTTAACTCAAACTGCCTACTATTTGTCTTATAGTTTGATAGAATTAAATAATAACTATAACAATAATATTTAACAAAGGGAATTATATTTGAAATTTTCAAATATCAAATTTTACCAATAGTTTAATAATTGTGTAACAATTTTTCAGACTTAAAAGTTTGAATGAACAAACAATTTTTTAGATTACAAGACTTAACTAGCATTTTTAAGGTAACATTTGTAAATTTAAGCATTAAAAAAATTTAACAAGTCACAAGTTACAAAATAAAAATTATATTTCTATACAGTAGCTAAAAATAGTGTAACTAATTTCAAAAACTCATGAGGTTTTTCTGCATGTAGCCAATGACCAGCACTAGGTATGTAATCAAATTTAACTGAAGGGAATATCTGTTTGATGGCCTCATGATCAGATGGTTTCAAGAAAACTGAATTTCCGCCTCCGATGAAATATGTTGGACCATCATATGTTGATTGAACAGGTGGAAACACGGCAAGATTGTTTTTAAAATTAACATTGATGGATTCTATATTCATGCGCCATTGGTATTTTTTGTTCACTTCGATAAGATTGGTTAGGAGGAACTGTCGAAGTATTGGACTCTGTAGAACACAAAAATAAAAATAATTAATAATTAACCAATAAATAGTTGTATAAATAAATATTAACAAATTATAATATCATAGTTTGTAATAATCTCAATCTTAGCCATTTTCTAATAATTATTATATATTTTAGTTCTTAATTTAAGTTTTAAAATAAATTCAATATGTGTTTAAATCAAATGCTAAATCAATAGCTTAAAAATTCTTAATTCCTTTAAAAAAAATTTATTTTCAATCCACATACCAAAGAACCTAATATTTATTTTTGTATCTGACTTGAAAAATTAACTAGTTCCTTTAACCTAACCTAATTATTAAAAAAAATACTGATAGAAATAAAATTATATTATAACAAAATCAGACATTTAAAGTTTAGTAATAAGTAATTTAAAATGTACTTAATTTAAGATAAGATAACTTATAATTAAAAAAAAAAAAACTATTAACTATATGAATGGAGTTTAGATATATAAATTGTTCTGTTATTTCTCCAAAATTTTAGAAAATTAACAAATTTAAATTACTATTAGTGCTTATAGCTACAATTTGATAAATTATTTAAAATTATTATACTTTTCAGTAAATTTAAACATATTATGGTCTACCTCTTTTTTTTTGGTAGCAATTAAAAAAAAAATTGTTATAAGTCTTAACTTGAATATACGTTGCTTCAAAAGTTCTCATCTGATTATGAACTGATATATTCGTTCATGGTTAATCTGTAATCGTAGGTTAACGGCACATGTATTAATGAAAAGGTGAGTTTATTTTAAGCTATCTAGCTGATAAATTTGGCACCGTAATGATTAGTGAACTAGGTACAGAGAAACTCCCTCAGCCATGAATTGGGAGTAAAGGAAACAATGATTTGGTGATTCATCTCTGGCCACCTCGTTTCCCTGACCCATGATGTGTGATTATTTTATGGGCATATGTAAAATATTAAGTGTATGTACCACCATATCCAACAAACTTGAAAAAGCTTAAAATCAGAATCACAGATGCTGTGAATGCCATGATACCTGATATGATCAGCAACGTTTGGGAGGAATTTGAACACCGTATAGATGTATTTTGGGTGGCCTATGGGGACCATATTGAACATTTGTAACCAAAGTAATTAAAACTTGACTACTTTAAGAATATATTTTATTTTATTTCACCTTTATATCTTCATTTTTAAAATAAATACACATTTTTTAAATCGGATGAAGACTTGAAACAATGTGTACAATTATTTTGTTATAACTAAAAAAAGGCTTCACAGCGGAGATACTCCAGCATGAATAATATTAATTCCTGGTTGCATTAAGTATTTAATATTTCCATAGTGTGCTAAATGTACTTTAAATAAGATTTAGTGGTCCATAATTGGTCCATTACATTTTAGTGAACCATTTAATTCAATACATTTTTTTTGGCAACACGGCATTAATAGTTTAGAAAAATTAATACCTAATTAAAAATTGGATAATCTTAAAAATGCTTAAATAATAGTTATACTATTTTGTAGAACTCGACAATATCATAGATTCATAATACATATAAGTTATAATTTAACATACCTCTATTGAACTTTTCATATGTTCATCTGCCAATTTACGAACTTTTGATATGGATCCATTAACATCTAAATTAACACCTCTTAAGACATCTATAATACTTTGGATATCACTCACTTCTTTGCTGTTGATTGGTGATATATCAACTGGTATTAAGGATTCCACAAGTTCTGGCTAAATATATTTTGCTGATTATTTTTAGCTGATATGTAATTAATGAAAACATTGATATCAAAACAAACCTTACATAGATGATTGCTAAGTACATCATTGTTCTGCCACCCATGCTGTGACCAATTAATGAAGCTTTTTTTACACCTAAATCTTCCATTAAAAATTTAACGTCTTCAGCCATCAGCTGATATGACTGCTCCAAAGTATGCGGTGAGTCTCCATGATTTCTTGCATCAACAGTAATTACCTTAAAAAAAGTATAAACAACTTCTTAATAAATCATGAAATATAATTTAAGAACATATACATAATTGTAAGAGCATTGTAATTATAATGTTTTTTTGATATCAAGATTATATCATAGATTATATAATATATATCTATGATAATATTGTAGCAAGTATCTAATATTATACTTGATAATATATTATATTATATTATATAAAATGATGTAATATATCTAGTATCTACCTAACTAACAAATAATGCAAAATTGAAAATAAATTAACACATTTTTACAATTTTATCCATTACATTGTTTTTACACTGCTAACATTTTTTTCTAAAAAATATTAACTTCTTGAATTTTAATTAAGTAAAAATGTAGTATAAAATAAATAAAAATCAATAATTACAGGCATGTGTAATCCAAATTGAAATATAAACCAAGGTAGGTACATATTTTAAATTCATCGGTTTATCAAGATCTATTCCAGAATATATCTGTATTTTAGATCCAGTCTGATAATCTAAATTTTAGTAATGCTTAAATCCTCAGTTTTAATGAAGATATATACTTTTGGTAATTTTAGTTCTAAAACAATAATAAAATTAAAAATTAAATAGTTACTATGTATCAAATAATGTTATTGGTAGGGCTCAAAAGTTGATGCATTTTGCATTTTTTTTTGGAACTTTTTAGACGATACTCTCCTGGCTACAAATCTGTTTCATAAGCATGTGAATCTGAATAACTAATTTTTATTTTGCATTTTTTGGTGTTTATTACTTTTTAAGTCATTTTTTGAAATTTTTAAGTCATTTTCCCACATTTTTAGTCATTTTAACTGATGATTTGGTACATTTCAGATTTGCCCCAATCACTTCAGTAGACGTAGAGAGAAATTTTTTTCCAATTATAAATATTTATTAACAGATAATCGTCGTTCAATTACTTTCGATAACTAAAAATACGCTCTAATTGTGGAATGCAATGATTTTAATTTTTAAATAATTTGTAAGCTTTGATAAATTTATAAAACAAATATTTTTTATTTTTTTATCTTCCTATTTTAAGGACATTTTTGTCATTTTTATGTCATATTTTGAATTTTATAGTAAAATAGAGTAAAATATTTAAAAAAAATGTATAATATTAATATTTGTAATTTTTAGGTAATTTTTTTAGGACATTTTTTGTCATTTTAACATATTTTTTTAGGGCATTTTTTATTGTTTTTAAGGTCATCAACTTCCGAGCCCTAGTTAATAGCTACAAAGGTAAAAAATATTTTGTGTGTGTAGGTAATAGATCTCTACTATAATCTTACATTTAGGATTAGATAAATCATTATATTTTAATATTATAAACATGTCTATGCATTAAATAGAAAAATTTAAAGTAATGCCAGGAAACAATTAACATTTGACCAAAATACAATAGGTACCTATGTTAAATTTATTGAATAAAATAAAACTAAACATACAGTAATTTAAGATAGCATAAAAGTATTTAGAAGATAAAATAACAATAAATAATTCTATTAGAAAAGAATGATTCAACAATCAATTATTCATAATTCTATAGATTGGTTTCGTATATTCAGTTTCATGATTCATGAGTATAAAATTAATTTGTGTAACAAAAGCAATAGTTCATTAATACATTAGGTAGGTATCTAACGAGGTATCTAACTAATAAAAACTAATTGAATAGTTGCCACTAAATGTACCTAGGTGGTTCTAATCTAATCTAAGGTTAGTGTTTGACCTTTTTACTTAAATTTTTATTATTATCCTATACATTTTAGAACTGTGTATGCATTTACAAAAATATTATGTTATGGCCATACTAAATGATTAAATAATAATCAACTAATTTTTAACACTACAAGTTTAGACAAAAAATCAAATACCTTATAACTATTTATAATTAATGAAGAGTTCATTTTTTAATTTAAAAAATGTTCAACAAATCAACATAAGCGATTAAAAACATCATATACTGACGATTCAATATTAATGTCAACTTAATTTTTTCAAGCAGTTACTAATTACATATTAAATTAATATGGTTTGGCAGTTATTTAAAGACAGAAAACAATAGTATAACATAGGTAATTTCTATTATTCGTAAACTTATTCATACATCCATTTAACACATAGGTAGTATATTTTTGAAAAGTTCTTTAGGTACACATTTCAGTAACCGTTTCACTACTTACTTTTCTGTGGGTCATATTGTGCAGGGATTTGGACAAACTGTTCCAGTTGGACTTGCAGCCAAACAGACCGTGCATGATAATGATCGGCGGTTTTTGTCCGCCGTCTGCGGCCGACTCATATGATGTGTACGACATTTTGATGGGTTGCAGTTTGGCACTGAACGGCAGCCGGCTCTCCCTAAGTAAACACGTCGTGGACAGAAACGACTTGGACTTGATCATAGTGGCAAAGGCTGAATGGGACTTGGAGTGAACTAACTGGGTGCCGCACGGCCGACTATTGATGGATTGTGCGCAACGCACATGAAATCCAACAGAAATTCGACGACGTACAATACCGAAGTGAAATGATGTAATGTTTTGTAAACTACTATAATAAAATAATAATCTTTCGTACGCGGATGTTCGTAATGTTCGTATCGGACTTTCAGAGATAAAAAAACAAAGAAAAAAAAGATGATGTAAAAAAATTTGACCGATAACGACGAATAGTATCAGCGAATAATAGTGTACGGTTTACTGATAACCGACTTTGATGCTTAGGAAAATTTATGAGCGTCTAGAGCACGGTTATCTACATAAATATATTAATATTAATATAACATAAATAGTTATCTACATCTACAATGTTATCATTATGTAGATAACCGTGGTCTAGAGCAAGCTGGTGTAGGTGTATTGATAAGGTGTCGTCACTTGTTCGAAATCTTGATTGAAAATTTTACCACAGATAGAAATCACCACCGGGAGCGCTGGATGTCCTATGAAGGCCGATAAATGAACACTTTTATTCTATCTCAACAAAAACACTACGTCAACTCCGTGTAAAAAAACGCTAAGTAAAAAAAAAAAAATATATAAATGCAATAAAATGTGTGATATAAGGTGGAATCTAAGTAAATAG